TTTTTTTTTTTCTTTTTTAAAATTTTGTTGCCCAATTTTGCATGCTTCTATCTGGTAATCTTAACAACTCATTTGAAAACAATATGCTTAAAATTGACTATAGAAACAAGCATTTCAAATTATTTATTCAACAATACTTTCTCTGAGTACCTTTTACCAAAGCAAGCAAGTGAGCAAGCGAGCTACAAAGCCACAGTATTACTCTGAAACACTTAAAATGACATAAAGAAAATAGATTAACTTTAAATTACTACAGGAAAAAACATCAGGTTCAAAACCATGCAGCTTCAAATCCAGATCATCAAACCACTCAAATATTTAATACTATAGTTAAGACAATCTCTGTAGGTTAATATAAGGAATAGTCCTAAATCTGATCTATAGTAAACAGCATACCAACAAGTTTATGATGTTATTTAGAAACTAGAGACTAAGATTTAATATTTGGGAGTGTAGGTTGAAATTTCTATATTAAAATTTAGAAGAAAAGTTACATCAAACATTTGGACTAAAAAGCCTATGCCTGAACTCTCTTAATTAAAAAAAAAACACTAAATATTTGGAACAAATAATTGTTGCAAGGTTGTTTGCTTAATCAACTCACCTTCAACAACGGAGCCATCCTTTATTATTTGAAGATCATCAGTCGCAAAATGTCTGTCAGCATTTTCAAGTACATCTCTATATTTTTCTTCATCAGACTGATCACATTCTTCCATGAGATTCAATGTACTGATAGTCTTATTCAGTGCTGCGGAGAACAGAGATGCAATTGATCCACGGGCCTAAGGCTTTTGGGCGTAACAAGGAAACTAATGAACTCCTTCAGGTGTGCAGCTCAGTGTGCCACTCACTAGCCAGAGGTGGCCTTTAGTAGAGCGCAGCACTTTCCACTATGCTCATCTTCATCTTCTACAGCCCCACTTCAGTAACAATTGTTAAATGGGTAACTTTTAAGAGCCACAAGGACTTGCAAGACAGAATGAATGTCTGTTACCACTAGTCAGCCACGGCAACCAGTCCAACATCATTCAAATATTCCATTATAAAATCAGGAGTAAGACAAGGATGTCCACTATCACCACTCCTTTTCAATATAGTTCTGGAAACATTGGCTTGAGCAATAAGACAAAAAAATAATAATAAAATAAAAAGAAAGAAAAGGAATAAAAAGGCAAATTATCAGGCTGGGAAGATAGTTTTGTGGTCTAAGCACCTCACGAGAAAAAAGGTAGCCTCTAATAAACGTTGCTGGAAAAATTGGCTTTCCACATGCTGAAGACTAAAATTGGACCCATATCTCTTGCCATGCAATAAACTAAAATTGAAATGGATTAAAGCCTAAATATTAAAACAGAAAAACTAAATTTCCTGGAAGAGTGAGTAGGCAGATTCTTATACACATAAGGGTAGGCAAAGACTTTATGAACAAAACTCCAGTTGCACAGGAATTTTTTTTTTTTTTTTTGTATTTTAGGGGAGGGTGTTTAGGGTCTCACTGCTAGATCAGACTTGTAGTGATCCACCTGTTTAGAGCCTGCCAAGAGCTGGGATTACAAACACACACTACTGTCTCAATTGCCATCTCAGCGTGCGCCAGGGCTGGGCCAGCACAGCAGGCCCGGGAATCAAACCCCCGGCCCCCGGGCCTTGGCTGGCTTGCACAGGAAATATTACAAGAGCCAACAAATGGGATCTCATTTTTTGCACAGCAAAAGAAATTACCACCAGAGTAAAAAGATTATAGGCTAAGAAAAAAGAACTTGTCAGCTGTCCTCAGACAACAGAATGGTATCTAGAATACAGAAAGAATTGAAAAGAATCAACCCCCAGCAAAATTGAAAACCCAAACAAAAGCAT